CAAGCCTAGCTTTTGGGCAATATTGTCTTTGTTCGCTCATTTCTTTATGGGAAGTGGTCCAGGTGTTTTTGCCGAAAAAGGTTCAATTTTTCGATTACTCTGTATTTTGTAATTCGACGCTAGCTGTTAACGTTTGAGTTCTCGCGAGGTTACAAATACATGTATCCATTTCGCATCTGGCTTTTTTTTATTTCTTTAGTATACGTATACGCATTTTTATTTCTAATCTCAATTCAGTGCTATTGCCCAATGCATGGATCTTCTCGGGCATTTCTGTTTTGTTTGAATTGTGTTTTTTTTTGTCGGTGTTTTATTTGTTCTTTTGCGACTCCACCTGAGTAGTTTTGATTTGCATATCTGGAACAGGGAATGACAAAAGATTGAACATGTTGCCCTTCTTTCAGTCTGTATAAACAGCCGCAAAATAGCTGATTATACGTCACAAAAGGCGTGGTTGTGAAACACTCGAGGCTATAAAAGCTGCGACCTACAATTACGATATCCCACTGACAGAACAGAAGTTGATCGAGAAGATACATTGCGGATTACGAAAGGCATTTGTTTGAATATTAATTCAGAATAGTTCGTCTTCGTTTCAAGTGGGCCACAAGATCTTCAAACAATCAATCTCTGATTTTAGAGGTTGTACAAGCCTCCGGCTAAATCACTGGAACCCGTTTTTCAGTGTCACTTCTTGGAGTTGTGCTCTATTCTATTTTGCAATTTCTGGTGGAAGATTCACCGATCGACACCAAATCAACAGGTGCTTTACGGCACAGCTTGTAAAACACATTCTCGCCAAAGAAAGCATGGATTTTCACAGTACAAGAGCAATGGGTGATATATACGCGACACAACCACAATTCTCGCACTTCAACTCGCAAGCCCGCCAAAACTTTGTTCCCTCTAGCCAAAGAGCGACCTTGCACTATCTTCCACAGGCCAGAAAACAAGTGAACTCCAGCTGGAGACGTTATGAGACCGATTTGACCTCCTCGTGTCGCCGCGAAATGGACGCTGTCGACGAAGAAATGATTACAAGACTTTGTTATGCGCTCGAACTAGACAAACTATACGTACTGCCTGACTTGGGACCCAGTGCTGACATTGTGAATAGGATGTAAATTCGTCAAGGAGCTTAAAATCGATCATTTGCTCCAATTTTACGGAATTTTGCGACACAAGCAAGACAACTGTTAAACTGTGGATTTCGTATTTTCCGCTCCATGAACTCCAGACAATTTGACGGTGATATGCCGAGCTCAAGAGAGGGCGCACTTACGAGCAACAATGAGAATTATCTTCACATTTTTCGCATTGGACGACACGATTTACGTATTTTAAGAAAATATTTACAGTCACGTTGTGTCAAACTGAAGACGGTATATATCTGATATGTATAATAACATAATGGAAATGCGACAAGCCGGGATCTCCCTCGCTGTGTTGGACGTTATTATAAATGAACTGGGAGACCTTGTTGAGAATTCTCTATGCAAGTATGTAAATTTATGTTATTTCATGTAGAACTTTTCTGTGGCTCTTTTCTCCCATTACAGCAGAAAAGAAACTAAGGGCCGGCCAGTCACTTTGCAGTACAGTACTTTTTCCCAGAAACAGTTTATAGAATGTTTTAAGAGATGAAACTTTATCTAGTTCACTTTACAGTCGGAGAACATTTAGCATGGCTCCCCATAGCTCGTTATTTCAGCTGTCATACCTGTTCCACCAAACGCGATATATTAAAAATTAATCTTATTGTTGTTTACACATGTGTTTTATGTGTAGGTCAGTTCATTTGTGAAGATACTTTCTACGCACCGGGGGTGGGGTGGGGGAAGGGCTTATTTGGTTGTTACAGGTCCTTCAGTTTGAAACACGTATTTCACTTTCACGCCTTAACCAATATCAACTTGAAGGAATCAGAAAATAATATATCACTTGTAGAACAACACCATGGGTAATGAAAAAGACAAACGATATGGCAAGGGTAACGCTTGGTTCAGATCCTTTCGAAATTTACCAAACTTTCCTCGAACAAGAGTCGTTTTCGGGTCTGCTTTCTATCGTTTAACGCAGTAGACACTGGAAAAGATGGCCGAAGGCAGATTCTCGCTCATTTTCAACGTAAAAATTGCGTATCCATATAATGGAAACACTCGGGTCGACATTACCAGCGCGTCGGAGATGTTTCGCGCTTTTTTTCAGTTGCTTTCTCCGGTTGTTTAGCCTGCAAACACTGACGGATTTCCGGCTTAAGTTACACCGGAAATCCGTCTGTGTTCGCAGGCTACCAGTTTTTTAGCTGCTGACAACAAAAGCGAGGTTGACCTGACTAAAAAACACAGATGCCTATCTTCGGAGGCCAACCAAGATTTTCTTCCGCTTGAGAGATGAGTGGGACTGCACCCAAAAATTCCCTTTTGATGACGTAGTGTATAGAAATCCGTGTCTTATCTCTGATTGGTTGTCACTTGCG